TTTCAATTGAGCATACTTTATAATAAAAATTTATAAAAATTTTAGTTCTTAATGGGTTATATAATTTATGAAGAAAGTCAGTAATCACTTGTGCAGGAATTAATTTTTTTTTTTTTTTTTTAAAGGATAAGCTGATAGTAAATAATTGAAAATTTATAGATTAATGTGCATAATTATTAATTAGATATAATATCTTAATGTGTTTTATTTAAAAATTGGGCTCTTGTGAGTTTAATTAAACCTATCAAACCTAAGATTGCAAGGTATTGTGGTTTATGGGTTGTTAAATTATAAATAGAATTAATTATTCTAATTAAAATTTTGAAGTAATATTTTTCAAGATGATAAATAGTATGTTTAATAATAAAATTAATATTGACATTTCGTTATAAAAAAAACATGTCAAATCAATAAATCCATTTAATAAAGGATCGATAAACAATATTATGTGTATAAAGTCTTTGGTAAAATAGACACAAGATGTATATATAATATGTTTGTTGATAAATAAAAATTGTATATGCAATATGTTGTCTAATGAATAGAAGTTATATTAACACTTTGGACCGACGCTTACATAATTTGATGGATACTTCATTCATTTTAATTAAAAAAATTTCTCATATAATTAGATAGAGATTAAGGCTTATCATGATCTAAGACAAAGATTTGTAAGGATCTTTCTATCATTTTTAAAAAAAAATATGGATTTTATATGAATAGAAAATATTAAAAATGGAATAATAGCATATAAAATAGTCAAGATTTTTTAAGGTTGGTGACCTTAGTGACCTTATTTTAATTTATAGTTAATGATTGATCCCCATAAATGGAAGGACATAAACTCAATTATAGTTGTTTTGCAATTCTCTTTGTAAGAAGACGACGACTGTTTGTTTATTCTAATTCATTTCTAGTAAGGATTTATATTTAAATTCCAAAAATACTGTAAGCCATGGAATATCAATATATGTAAACATGATACTCCAAATAATACTTATTAATATCACAAGCATATAAAAATTTGATGCATAAATAAGTAAATTCAATGTCATTTGCACAAGTATAGAGATGATAGCTATTTGCACAAGTACTTCAATACTAAAAGAATGTTAATTTTTATATGAAACCCAAAATATCATGACTTAATTTGAAGTGACATACAGTGGCAGACCGCGGCCACCCCAGGCCTTAGAAATTTTCTTTAAATTTCATACATAAAATATTAATTTTATTCTTAAATAGTTAGTTTTTTTATGCATTATCTGTTGAGTTATACAATTTATCCTCCTTAAATACAATTTTTTTATTAAAAAAAATTATATTTTGATCTCCCTCATTTATTAAACCGTATACTTTGTCTAAAGATAATTTCGATTTTCCTGGTTCCGACTGACATATTGATACTAAGATTTATGAGAACAAATGAGCTGAGTTAAAATTAAGAAAAGATACTAAAAATTGACATAAACATGAAATAGCACGAAGCCTTGTTCCTCAACTGCTCGCAAGTTCAAGTTTCAAAATTGTAATAAACACAAGGAAGACTTTGAATTCTAAAAAAGGTTTTAAAACCTGGCCCGGTCTGGCCAGTTGAATCGATTTAACCGAGACCCAGGGCCTTCACCAGGCCAGGTTATCAATTTTACTATTCATCTCAAACCCTAGAAATTAGGACGAAGATCAGCAAACAATTGGTGACTGGAATGTTGGGGCTTCTGAAGAGGAAGGGTCGGTGAGTCAAAAGGTGGCGACAGAGCTGATTTCCGATGAGTAAAATGACCTCAAATTGCAAAAATAAATCAGCGGCAGCAACCCGCTGTTGTCACCGATTTGCTAGGCGAACGGGGGTGGGGGGAGATAGGTTTTGGTCAGGAGGCTAAGGGAAGAGTTTTCATGGTGATGGGGTATGTTTTTTATGCTGGAAACATGCCCTATTTGGCTTGGGTTGTCGACATCGGTGGTGTAATTTAGGGTGTTTTTGTAAGATTTCAAACTTATAAGAACTTATGTGTAATTTATACAGGTGTTTTCTGGATTTTAAACCCTTTTACATGCGGTCAACCTGGGACCTGGCCACTTTGTCAGGTTTTACCTCGGGCCGGGTTTTAAAACCTTGATTCTTAGATCATTTGAGCTAATAAAATTGATAGCATACGATCAATTGGATATACTTTTTCATCTGAAAATGACAATTTTGGATGAAACTTTTGATCTTTGCGCACTCCATAGTCCATATTATAGTTTTCAGCCTGCACAACTAATTCAAAGCTCCCTAGTCAACACGTCAACACTGCCTATTATATTTCAAATTAATAAGCCAAGATAAGTCCAAATTCTTTTGCCTATATGTACCACGCAACATATATTACATTTATATGAAAACACATATCTACAGAAGGATCAAAAACTCCTACACAAGCTCAATTTCCAGCAATTTAGTGCTTAATGAATTCCAGAAAATTAAGCACCCTTTTGATTGAAATACTAAATTTTGCATCCCCATTTTGTAATTACTGAGCATTACATTGGGAATAAAACAACATATTTTAAGCTTTTTCTTTTCCTAAATTTAATTAAGATATTATCCTAATCAAACGTCCAGCTAACATATTTTGCAACAGAAATAAATTTCAAAGCTAATGGCATTGATAGAAATGGAGTCCACATGAAAATTATCTGACTTGGATCGATTACAACTCCAGATTGTGCTGTATATACACAATATCAGATGGAGCGAAAAATGAAAATATATATTCAAATAGAGTGGTCACCTTCAAATCAGTATCTATTTCTATCAGAAATAATTCAAGTGTGGGTACCACGAAGAAGAAGATAAGAGATTCCTCGACCAACATGAAGTAGTCGTTGAGGTAATTAATTACAATCCCAAAGTTGGTTGTGGAAAACTATTTGTGCAATTAATTTTTGCAAACTAGAGCTGCTATCACAATAAAATGTTGGAAGTAGTCCATGCAAACATATAGTTTTCATAAATGAATGCAAGACATATGCTTTTAAGTCAAGTCTATGCAATAGAATTTCTCAACGAACAAATTCACTCAGCTTATAGTATGAGTTGTCTATATTTATCAGAGTTCATAATTATGGTATGCATTACATAACAAAAAAAAAAAAAAAAACAATGGAGTGTTCAATCCTGAAGAGAGTATTTTCACTTGTTTCCCTAGTCTTATTGTATGTTTTGCAAAATCCATCACTTGATGTTGCTTCTGATTCTACTGAAGAAGCACTTGCTCTTCTCAAATGGAAAGTCAGCCTTCAAAACCATAACCATTCTCTTTTGACATCATGGATTCTTTCTTCAGTGAATTCCACTAAAATAAGTCCATGTACTTGGTTAGGAGTCTCCTGCAACCATGCTGGAAGTATCAGGAGTATTAATTTGACTAGTGCACGTTGACAAGCTCTTCGCAAGTGTACGAAATCGTACAAGTAATAAAGCTCGAGAACTACCTATCAAGTACCAAACTAATCTATTTTATTGCTATTTGATTAAACTGAATTTTAAGAATGAATTTCATTAAAAAGTAAACAAACTAAAAACCAAATAAATGCAGAATTTTATAAACACTTTGATATAAAGATCAATATGACTAAACCTAGGGCATAGATTTCACACCAATTTAATCCTATGCATTGACAATTATTGCTAACCTAATTAAGCTTATTCTAAAGGCCAAATTCCCTGATATTCCAATAACTTTCTCTTGAACAATTAGCGAATTAACCCTTAAGCAACAACCCAAAATATCTCTAAGTTGGATTTAGGAGTTAAAAGATCATTAAGTTCTATAAAATTTACCAGAGCCTCACAGATTGCGGTAACCTATCTCTAGCATTCGCTCAATCTATGGTTTTATTACCTTAGATAAATCAGGTTTCATCTCTCGATCTCAACCTAACCCATGATATCATTCAACTCTCAGATCCTTAAGAATTGAAAGCATTATGCACAATAATAAAACTTAGAATTAAATGCTTAATAAGAATTAACAACAAATTAAATCAACACATATTCATAAATTGGGCTACATCTTTAGCCCTAGAAAAGAGATTTAGTTCATAATTACAGTAATGAAAACAACCATTGTATTGAATATCATTAGTTCAAGAAAGAAAAATAGAAAAACTTCTCTAATTTGTGAACGAGAATCGCAAGAATTCCGATCTCCAAAGTAGTAGCCGTCTTTTCTCCTCCTTCCAATCCCCTTGAACTTCTTAAAGACTCTCTTTTATATCTCTAGGGTTCTGGTCGTGCTTAGGAAAAAGATTAGAAAACTTAGCCCATTCAGATTCGGATTAGGGTAATAAATTAACACAAACCCGTGACCCATCGCCGCAGTGGTAAGAATGATCACCGCGGCGATCGTTTCTTCTGTCCAAAGCATCCATAAACTTCAGAATTAGATGAAGTCATCAACATAAACATTGTAGCTCTTTGAATAAGCTTTCCAACGCCACCAGAATCGTCAAATTCTGACTTTTACAGCTCAAGTTATGACAGAAACATTGAGGCATATTCATGATGAAGAATTTCCAGATTTTCCGTAACATCTTCGACGTACCACAACTCCCTCATTTCGACCCTGATTCTTGTACCGTTTGTTCCTACACATCGTGAATCCTATCGACATCATTCTTTTCCCTTCAACAACCTGTTTGAGCCTAAAAACACTCAACATGCACCCGTGATCCCATAAATGGTATTTATGAAAGAAATAATCCAAATTTCACACTTTAAACACATTTTTCCATAAATAAACCAATTAAATCACTAACAAAATATCAACATTCAAGCTCTTATCACACGTTTAACAGGTACACTTCATGAACTGTCGTTCTCATTCTTTCCCAATCTTGCATACCTTGATCTAAGCGTGAATGAATTCGTTGGTACTATCCCTACTCAAATTGGCCACCAAACACATCTAGAAATCCTTAATCTTTTTTCAAATCAATTCTCTGGCTCTGTTCCTATGGAGATAGGTAGTTTGAAGTCTCTTTCGGATCTAGACTTGAGCGAAAATCAATTGACTGGTTTTATTCCTCCTTCCATTGGTAATTTGAGCAACTTAAAAGTATTGTATCTATACAGCAATAACTTTTCTGGCTCTGTTCCTATGGAGATAGGTAACTTGAAGTCTCTTTCAGATCTAGAGTGAGCATAAATCAATTAACTGGTTTTATTCCTCATTCCATTGGTAATTTGAGCAAATTAAAAGTATTGTATCTCAATGATAACAACCTTTTTGGCCCTCTTCCTTTGGAGATAGGTAACTTGAAGTCTCTTTTGGATCTAGAGTTGAGCACAAATCAATTGATTGGTTCTATTCCTCCTTCTATTGGGAATTTGAGTAACTTAAAAGTATTGTACCTTTTCGAGAACAACTTTTCTGGCTCTCTTCCTATGGAGATAGGTAACTTAAAGTCTCTTTCGGATCTAGCGTTATACACAAATCAATTGAATGGTTCTGTTCCTCTTTCCATTGTTAATTTGAGCAAATTAAAAGTATTGTATCTCTTCAAGAATAACCTTTCTGGCTCTCTTCCTATGGAGACAAGTAACTTGAAGTCTCTTTCGGATCTAGCGTTATACACAAATCAATTGAATGGTTCTGTTCCTCCTTCCATTGGTAATTTGAGCAACTTAAAAGTATTGTACCTCTTTGAGAACAACCTTTCTGGCTCTCTTCCTATGGAGATAGGTAACTTGAAGTCTCTTTCAGATCTAGCGTTGTACACAAATCAATTGAATGGTTCTATTCCTCCTTCCATTGGTAATTTGAACAACTTAAAAATATTGTATCTCAACAGCAATAACTTTTCTGGCTCTGTTCCTGTGGAGATAGGTAACTTGAAGTCTCTTTTGGATCTAGGGTTGAGCACAAATCAATTGATTGGCTCTATTCCTCCTTCCATTGGGAATTTGAGCAACTTAAAAGTATTGTACCTCTTCGTGAACAACTTTTCTGGCTCTATTCCTATGGAAATAGGTAACTTGAAGTCTCTTTCGGATCTAGTGTTGAGCACAAATCAATTGATTGGTTCTATTCCTCCTTCCATTAGTAATTTGAGCAACTTAAAAGTATTATACCTCTTCGAGAACAACCTTTCTGGCTCTATTCCTATGGAGATAGGTAACTTGAAGTCTCTTTCAGATCTAGCGTTATACACAAATCAATTGAATGGTTCTGTTCCTCCTTCCATTGGTAATTTGAGCAACTTAAAAGTATTGTATCTCTACGACAACCACCTTTCTGGCTCTATTCCTATGGAGATGGGTAAATTGAAGTCTCTTTCAGATCTAATGTTGAGTACAAATCAATTGAATGGTTCTATTCCCCATTCCATTAGTAATTTGAGCAATTTAGAGTATCTATACCTTAAGCATAATAACCTTTGTGGCTCTATTCCTTCTTCCTTTGTTAATTTGAGCAAATTAACGCATTTGTACCTCAACAGTAACAACTTTAGTGGTTCTATTCCTATGACATAGGTAACTAAAGCTCTTTCATATGTAAGGCTGATACTTAATGGTTGTATTCCCCTTTAAATTGTAATTTGAGCAATTGAAGAAGCTTTTAAGCAACAATTTTTGTAGTTTTATTCCTCCTAGTGGTAATTTCGATCTAATATTAAATAATGGCATGTCTGTGGCAACAAAGAATTTGTGCTATATATCAACTATAACAACTAAATTTGTCATTTATTATATTGTAATACTAAATTTACTTCCGGACTTTGTAATTATAACAGCATAATATAAGTTTGTTTCCTCAATTCAATTAATTCAGATATTATCAAGCATCTAGCAAGCAGCTTACATATATTTTCATGATTAATTATACTGGCCAGAAAATTTTAATATAAGTTGATTGAATTGCTTAGATGTAAAATGATAATTTAAATTTTTTTATATAATTGATGGTATATAAATAATTTCATATTTAAAAAGTGGATATATTGATAATTGACAGTATTGGCAATAACATAAAATAATAACAAAATTTATTAAGTCAAATAGTAAAAGGTATTATCGTCTTGAATTTTCCTAATGATAGGTGGGAAAGTGTCATTTTGAAACTTTATGGGTGGGAAAATCGCTTTGCCAAACCTTGGGTGGGAAAATGTGGTTCTTCTCATCACGAATTTCTTCAAACCCTACCAGGGGATCCAACCCAACAGCTTCTCTCCCCTTCTTTCCAACGCAGGCTCATTTTTCTCCGTTCCTTTTTCTTTCCTTCTCTCCTTTTTCCTTTCCTTTTCCTTTCCCTCTCTATTAACAGCCACTTCCCATCTTAACATTTCACTGCTTACGGCTGGAGGCAGTTGAGCTGGCGGCGTCGTCGCTTCAGCCACGAGTTGGGCTGGCTACGAAGCTGGGGCCTGCGACGCCTCTGCCCAAAATCACCGCCAAGCTAACCGCTCTCTCTGCCGTGCACATTTTTCTTATGTTTTGTGTTTTATGAATTTGTGGAATATATGAACTTTGTGCGGTTTGTGGATGTGTGGATTTGCTCGATTAATGGAGGCTTTGTGAAGATGGGAGAGGCGGTGATAGATGGTTTTTAGGCGGCGTTCAATCGGACGAGAAAGATTTTGCGGAGAATTATATCCTCGATTTCTTCTGTGATCTCTGCGGTTTTTGCGTTGTCATTGCGCTCTGATTTTAAGAATTTAGAGTTCAGATTTTTTTTATTTTCTCGGGAAACAAACGGAAAGTGAGAGAAAGTTAGCCAAGCCACTAGCGCCAGCCCAAGCCAAATCTGGTGTTGACGCTAGCAAACCTCAACCCAACAGCTTTTCTCTCCACCGCCTCTCTCCTCCATATAGTCGGCCATCTCCTCCATGCCGTCAGCTTCTCCATGCCATAGCCCTTCTCCTCAATCGGTCAAGTTGACTCTTTGTAACGGTGCTTTGTGGTGGTACTAGTTCATTGGAATGGATTTTAATTTGGTTGTGTTTAACCTTGTTCGGTTACAGTACAGAGTTTTCTTTGAAAAGTCCCCATCTAAGCTGGCCTCAAAGGACTTCACGCCGATGCGTTTGTGGCGTCTAGGTATAGTATCCCCAACGACGATACACCGGCGAGTAATCAGCAGTTCAGCACATCTTTTGGTGCTGGGGAAAGGCAATCCCAAAGAATAAATTTTCTTTCCTGGCGCAGGTCTACGTGGGGGTTGGTTGTATTTCCAGTAGTGCTACTGCATCACATAATAAACCATTCGATAATTCGCATGAAATGATGCGAGGTAATAGTTTCTGTCGATTTTTTTTTTTTTTTTTTTAATGACCGGGAGTGTTCGAATCTACTTGTACCTCAACTAATGCTTTGCTTTTAAACTACCGACTGTTTTTGTCAAATCTTGATTGTATGACAGATTTTTGTTAAGTTTTGTTGTATTAAAGATTTAGTTTAATTTTTGATTAATTTATTATTTAAAAAATTTGATGTTTTATTAATTTGATATTAATTCTTGATAATTAATTAAGGAAAATTAACCATCAATTCTTTTCTATTTAACTTCTCACCTATAAATAAAGAAATTAAAATCATTCATAATATCTATCTTTTGAATAATAAATAAAAAAAAAAAAAAAAAAAAAAAAAAGGTATACAAACTAAAATTCTCCATTATATTAGTAAATCGTATAAGAAAAAGAAATCAAACCATATGAGAAGGATAGAAAATTTTAAACCCCAAATTCAACTACATAATTAACATATCCTCATTAATATCCTTTATGTAAACTAACATAGCTATGGCGTATTATCATCATAGAAGAAATCGAGTTTAAAAAAAAAAAATTAAAAAAAATTGAGATATGATGTTCAGAAATTAGAATCATTTGATTAGTAAAGATTGTAAAGAATTGAGGTAATGAGAGATGAGTCATGAAAATTCGTGGTAGAAGCACAACTACTCACACAAGAGGATAAACTTAACCATGCAAGGCAAAGACCTTGACTTGATGAGTGTCAATTACATAACCTCATTTCTTACATGAAGGACAAGGCAAAATTAGTGTCCACATAAAGGGCTAGAATTTCTCACCAAAAACAGCAAATATGGAATAAATGACATTTGGACACTTTAAAAGCTCTAACTTCATAAAAAAAATCAAGTCTAACGCAAGAGGACAAGCAACATTAGCAAAATTTTCTCGTCAAACAAATTTACTGAGCTTGTGAAAATCGATGGAGTCTTTTGAAGCCTTAAAGTATATTGTATGAGTTGCTTATGTATATATATACACACTAAATTATGATATGCATTAAGAAATAAGAAAAACAATGATGTGCTCAATGTTGAAGAGAGTATTTTCTCTTAGTTCCCTCCTCTTTTTGTATGTTTTACAAAATCCATCACTTGATGTTGCTTCTAATTCTAGGAAGAAGCACTTGCTCTTCTCAAAGAGAAAGCCAGCCTTTAAAACCATAATCATTCTCTTTTGACATTGTGGACTCTTTCTTCAGTGAATTCCACTAAAATAAGTTTATGTACTTGGTTAGGAGTCTCCTGCAACCATGCTGGAAGTATCAGGAGTATTAATCTGATTAGTGCACATTTAACAGGTACACTTCATGAACTATCATTCTCATTCTTTCCCAATCTTGAATACCTTGATCTAAGCATGAACGAACTCTTTGATGCTATCTCTCCTTCCATTGGTAATTCGGGTAACTTAAAAGTTTTGTACCTTTTCGAGAACAACCTTTCTGGCTATGTTCCTATGGAGATAGGTAGCTTGAAGTCTCTTTCGGATCTAGCATTGAGCATAAATCAATCGACTAGTTCTATTACTCTTTCCATTGATAATTTGAGTAACTTAAAAGTATTGTATCTCTATAGTAATAACTTTTCTGTCTCTGTTCCTATGGAGATAAGTAACTTGAAGTCTCTTTCGGATCTGGAGTTGAGCATAAATCAATTGACTGGTTCTATTGCTCCTTCCATTGGTAATTTCTCTACAGCAATAACTTTTCTAGCTCTATTCCTATGGAGATAGGTAACTTGAAGTCTCTTTCGGATCTAGAGTTGAGCACAAATGAATTGAATGGTTCTATTCTTCATGCCATTGGTAATTTAAGTAACATAAAAATATTGTATCTGTATAGCAATAACTTTTCTGGTTTCGTTTCTATGGAGATAGGTAACTTGAAGTCTCTTTTTGGTCTAAACTTGAGCACAAATCAATTGACTGATTCTATTCCTCCTTCCATTAGTAATTTGAGCAACTTAAAAGTGTTGTACCTCTTCGAGAACGACATTTTTGGCTTTATTCCTATGGAGATAGGTAACTTAAAGTGTCTTTCAAATCTATCAATTCACACCAATCAATTGGATGGTTTTCTTCCTTGTTCCATTGGTAATTTGAGCAATTTAAAGTATTTATACCTTTGCCATAATAACTTTTTTGGTATATTCCTTCTTCCATTGGTAATTTGAGCAATTTAAAGCATCTATAACTTAGTCATAATAACCTTTCTGGCTTTATTCCTTCTTCCATTGTTAATTTGAGCAATTTAACATATTTGTACCTTAACAGTAACTAGGGCTGCAAACGAACCGAGCTGTTCACAAATAGCTCGATGTTCGTTCGATAACTATTCGATTCAACTTAATAACAAATTGTTCGCTAACAGTTCGATGTTCGTTCGATAATATATTTGATTCGAGTGTGAACATATGATATTCGTTCGATTATGTTCGTGAACATACTGCGTTCGACTGATTCATCCGTTCGCGAACAATTTGTTCGATTATTCATTCATTTATGTTCGAAAAACATGGTATACATTATTATTATTATTATTATTATTATTATTATTATTATATATATATATATTTTTTTTTTCTTTTGTATATTATGTTTGGTTTAGTTTGAATGATTTTTTTTAATGGTAATCAATAATAAAATATTATGATGCTTTTGTTTTTCTTATATATATAATATGTTTGGATTTTTTTTCTTTTTCAAATGTCAATAATTAAATATATAAATATATAGCCTTTTAATTAAAAAATAATAATTTTTTATGATACATAGTATAACAAATTTAATAATATAATAAATTGTATAATCAAGTGATATATAACATAACAAATCTAATAATATAATAGCTTCATATTTTTCCAATTGTAATTAATAATTAAATATTATGAGATACATTTCAATTAATAAATAATGAATATAGTATGGTAAATTGATGAACATAACATATTATATAATCAAGTGATGTATAACATAATAAATTTAATAACATAATAGCTTAATTAAATATAGTATAGTAAATTGATGAACATAATATATTGTATAATCAAGTGATATATAGTATGACAAATTTAATAACATAATAGCTTAATTAAACATAATATAGAAAATTTATGAATATAACATATTGTATAATCAAGTAATATATAACATGACAAATTTAATAACATAATAGCTTAATTAAACCTAAATTAATCACACATTTGTATTAATCATATATTACAATAGACCCTCATACTACTATGAATTTATAGGTATTGATACAGAATATATATGTAAACATTAATGATAATATATATATATACAATAACCAACAAACTAACCTACCCAACCCAAATTTTAAAACAAAAATCCAAATGAAAGTCCACATTTTCCCTTACCTGGCCCAAATCCAAATGCAAATCCAATTCAGTCACAACCCTAATTTGGTTATCGAACGAACTTAAACAACCCTAAGTTATTTGAATGAGTTAATCGAATAATTAATCGAACGATCACAAACTACTTGTTTGGTTAATCGAACAAACTCGAACAGTCATTTTGTGTTCGTTCGAGTTTGGGCACAATTTCGAACACCCCTTTGTGCTTATCGAACGAGTTTTGAACATAGGTGTTCGTTCGTGTTCGGTTTGTTTGTAGGCCTAACAGTAACAACATTAGTGGTTCTATTCCTATGACATAAGTAACTTAAAGTCTTTCTGATGTAAGGCTGACACTTAATGGTTGTAATCCTCTTTCAATTGTAATTTGAGCAATTGAAGAAGCTTTTAGGCAACAATTTTTGTAGTTTTTATTCCTCCTAGTGGTAATTTCCATCTAATATTAAATAATTGCATGTTAGTGGCAACAATCTTTGTGATTTAATCCTCTTAGATTTAGAAATTTCTCTGAATAAATTTCTGGCTATTTTAAATAAATTTTAATTACGTCTATTGTCATAGATTCACTAAAAGATTGTTCAATTTTAGAAAATATATTTAGTATTCCTTATCCATGGGATCTTGTCATCCTGATACCTTTCTGAGGTCTTTTTGTAATAGTTTTAAATTGGTTTTTTATTATTAAAACAATATCTCAAGGGGTATTATTTATTTATTTTCTTAAAATCAAACTTTATACAATTTTTTACATGAATTTTTAAACTTTAGTTTGGCAACAATATGTAGATGGTTAGAATTAGATAAGTATTAATATTTGAAAAGAATAATACCCACGTACTCCAAAGTTTATATCCATAAATAAACGTGACTTTTTTTTCTTTTTTTGTGTAATTGTATCATTTTTCAACTAATATAATGTAGAACCCTTAGCTACTATTGTAGATGCAAAAAATCTACGGTTAGGGAAATAGAGTCTGATCCCGTGAGATTGAGGTCACTGACAATCCGATGGACCTGCACACACGAAGAGATGACCATGAAGCTTATGGGAAACATCGCGGTGGTGCTTACCGTAGGTACTCCGCCGCCAAAGTCAGCAAGGCTGAAAGAGACTGTTTAATAAGAATTAAATGAAAGAAATATCACCGGGAGTCTTGCCAAAGGCCAAGATTATGGCGAAGGTGTTGAATTCTCGGGAGCAAGAACTTAGGAGCAAATAAGTGGTTTTGAGTAATCGAAATTGAATGAATTATGAGAGGGCAAACTTTTGTTTATATAATGAACCCAAGGTTGGAATCCTAGTAAGACATTGAGTCCTATTTTGGGAGATAATCCCTATCAGGAAAGAAATATGATTTTTTGTCCTTATCAAATTAAGTTTATTAGTTTGAGTAAGATTCAGGATCTTTAGCAAAAGAGAAAATATAATGGGTTTCTAACTTTCTATTTATGGACTATTGTAGGCTAATAGGTTGGAACCAAATTTAACTTAATTTGTAAGATAGCCCAGCTCATAAAGTGTGCAGTTCATAAAGTGACTTTAGGCGTAGACCCAATTAGAATTGGGCTAAGTCTTTGGATCGTAATATATTTATTTCGTTATTGGGCCTCGTCAGGCCCAAGATGACTTTTTGCCCATACAGCTATCTTAAGCTTTTAGGTGGAATGACAAGTTACTAGCTCAAACAACTCACATGAAAATAATAATATTTAATTTAATTTTTAATGTCGAAGCATATTGTTGCGTAGCCAAAAAAAAAAGATATTCTTGTTATAAATATTGTGGACCCCACCAAATTTGAGAAGTTGGGGGGCAATTGTCAACTTGACAAGTTTGGGGGATGATGGGGCAACATCCCCCTCCCCTTCATTTTGAATCATCACAAAATTTCAGATTGGAATGATAGATTTTTTTTTTTTTTTTTCTCACCCCAAATTATATAGATAATGAGATATTAGATAATGTGTGGAAGGAGTCCTTAATGCAAAAGCTTTTTTTTCAAATTAAGCACTAAATGAGAAACTTATTTGATTGAACGACTTCATTAATATTACTAACAAAAATACAAACAATATGAATATATATTACATATTCACTAGGGTTGTGTGAGTTATACTACTGCATATAATTTTTGATGTATGAAATTGAAGGTTGACATCCAAGATGTATGCATGAAGATTTATTGTAAAGTTCTCTCATATATATAGAATTTGATAAAAAAAAAAATCAAATTAAAAAAATTTATAATCATATATACTTTTAAATACACCTAAATTTAATTCCCGTTTCATATGAAATTTATATACAATATTTTGCTTTTAAAACAAATTATACAATGAATCTCATGAAAATGCGTTTGATAAAAATGAAATGAAATGTTTTGAAAAACAGTTTTCAGAAAAAATCCTAAAAGCTAGTTTGATATTAGAAAATGAGTCGTTTTCATAGTTTTCTTTATGCATTCCGAACATTAGTTTTTGAAAATTATTGTTGAATCACTAATCACATAATTATTCCGACAAAAATATATTTAACATTAATTTATATTCAGAACTACATACACAAAAATTTAATTTAACTTTGAAATACCTATATATATACACTCTTTGTATTAGGAGATTGTTTCAAATATATTCTTTAATAAACAAATTTCAGAAAAAAAAAATCTCCTTAATTTGAACGCAAGATTTTGTATTTTAGATGAATAGAAAATATTAAAAATGGAATAATAGTATATGAAATAGTCAAGATTTTTGAAGGTTGGTGACCTTAGTGACCTTTATTTTAATTTATAAATAATGATGGATCCCCGTAAGTGGGAGGACATAAACTCAATTGTAGTTGCTTTGCAACTCTCTTTGTAAGAATACGATAATTTGTTTATTCTAATTTCATATGATGTGTCATTTTATATGGTTTTGATGTGTAAATGAAAGAGTTGATATGATGAATTATATATCAATGTCTCATAAAACGACATATCATTTGGGATAGGAAATTGAAGATTTCGGAAAGTGTTACAAATTAAAGAAAAATAGAGAAAAACATTTGGGAATTAACGAAAATCAAAGAGTATTTTATGTCATAATATTAAATAAATAAATAAATATTTCTTAAAGTAACCTCAAGATATAATGGAAGATTAGAAGGAACCTCTAGAATTTAACTAATATTTCTTTGGCTTTGGCTTATCAAAATATCAACTAATAATTGAAATTAGGATAATATTAAAATAACATTCTACACTTTTCTAAAGTTTATTTATTAAATAATGCACATTTTTTTAATCAATTAATTGTATTTTCTGAGAAAATTTTTATAATATTCAATGATTTAATTTCAACATAAATTAAATTAATCAATCATTCAAAGAAAAGAATTATTAAAAAATAAAAATTAAGAAATAAGAAACAAAAGGGTACTTTTTGAAAGCAACACAACAGGATTAAAAAACAAAACACATGAAATGAAATGAAAAAAGATTTGATTTGATTTTTTTATGCTTTTGTTTTCAAAAAATAATAAAATTAATAATAATAATAATAATTTTAAGAACACCCGTGGAATAGTGAACAAAACCCCTCTTTTTTCTCTACTGATCAATCATTTTCCGTTTAGTTTGATTCAATCTGGGCCGTGTGATTTGATGACTCCCACTTTCACATGTTGCCGCCGGCGTCGCTAGACTCCGGAGCTCCGAACGCTCAGGTTTCTACTTCCTTTTCGTTCAGTACTTTAATTTCTCAATCTAATTTATCACAGGTGGGTTTGTTATTGTATTAACATTTTTTCCAAAGATGAACCCATCAAGGTTTGCTGAAAATATATCTGGGGTTTCAAATTCAAGTAGTAATAACCCGAATTTGAGCTCCAATTCGTCGTCAATTTCGCGATCATCGAATCTTTCGAGGCCGAGATTGCATAAGATGAGAAAGCAATTTAATTCCGAGAGTTTTAAAGTGCCTGGGGCATCAGGATCCGGGTTTGGTTCCGGTTCCAACCCGTTTCCGGTGGGCACGAATCGTTTTGGGTATGAACCGGGTGGTGGTTCGAGCTCTAATGTATTTGTGTTTGGAACAAGGAAGAATGATTTGGGAAACAATGTTGTCGATGAAATGAGGAAGCTGAAAATTGGGAGTGAAAAAGAGGGTGTGAATAAAACAAATGATGGGTTTGTGTTTGGTAGTAATGCTAGTTCTGATTATAAGAGTGTTGGTTTTGATGAAATGGAGGTGGAGGTAGCTATGAGGAAGTTGAATATCGATAGCGCTGAGAATGCTAAGAGTAGTGAAAATGATAAGGGTGAGTTTGTTTTTAAGAGTGGTAACAATGTGGGTGGTTTAGGTGGGAAAGATACGGAATCCGGGCTTGAAATTGAGTTACAGAAGAAACTTAGTGTTAAAGAGGGTGGGGAGGTTAACGGGAAGAAATTTGTATTCAGTAGTAGTAAAGAAAAAGAAAGGAGTTTTCCTTTTGCCGCAAAGGAACTTCATGATCAGATGAAGAATTTGAATTTGAGTAGTAAGAATGAAATTGATGCTAAGATCAATGAGAATATAATATCAAATGAAATGGGGAGGAAGTTGAATATTGGAAATGAAACCAGTGATTCTGCTGGTCCAACGGACATGGGAAGAATGACTTCTGGAATCTTTGTGAATGACAAGCAGGATGGAAATATGGGTGATAATGAGTTCAACAATTTGGGCAAAGCAGTTCCCACAGAATTTACTTTTCAGGCAGCAATGGAGGGTAAAGATGCAAGGGGTGGTCACGTTTCTGTTGACCAACCGAAAGATGATGCAAGAGCGAGTGAAACCGGTTCATCGTCATCTTCATTCTCATCCAGTGGTGTGCATTTTCTGTCAGTTGACAATGCGTCTAAAGTGTTTGGAACGGATAGACTCGACAAGAAGAATGAGTTTAGCTTTACAAGCACACAAGATGGTTTGGGAACACCCTTTGTGGAATTTAAAACACCACTGCCAAAAGCGAACTTATTCTCTGGTGTAGATCGGACATTGGAATTTGGTGCAAAGAGGGAATTCGTTAGGGACATGAAAGCAAAGAAAAAGAGAGGAAAACTAAGGCAGCCTACCCCAGTCCATCTGCGGCATGGACAAAGTTTTGTTTCGAGGGAAAGTGTCTCCCAGGAGAACCCAGAGCCTTCGGAATCTTATTCTCCAATGGATATTTCAACATATCAGGAAACATTGGCTGACACTCTATGTTCAAGAGAAACTTCTGTTGCTTCAGATGAGTCTTTCAGTCTTGACAATGATGCTTCTACTGATTCACGGCCAGCAGTCTCAGATGTTTCAATAGACAAAGACTTGCTTGTTGCAACGCAGCACATGGATATAAACGAAGGGGATGTGAGCAGCAGAGAAACGAAAGAGGAACATTCTGATAGAGGTGTTAGTGCCGTAGGTACTCCAGAAGATTCTATTTCTGGGGCTGAAACTGAAAGTTTTAAATCAGCAAATGAGGAGATAGACTTCCACATTGATGGCTTTGTTAAGTCAGCTGAAACTGAAGCTAGTTCAAGCTCTAACATTGAGAGAGAAGATAGTGATGGCCGGATGCAATTCAGTTTTCCGTCACGTCAAGAAGAGCAAAGCGGGTCTAACTTCACCTTTGCTGCTTCTTCTGCTGGTCAAAGTCACTTATCAGCATCAAGACGTCACCTTAAAAAGAAGAATTTGATTAAAATTGGTCATGATTCATTTAATTCCACTTCCAATGCTAAAATTCCACATGCATCAACCTCTGCGCAGTTCTCTCCGTTCTCTGGAGCTTCACAGCTTTTGTCAGCTCGGCAGGGTGAGAAAGGAGACCAATTTTCTCTTAGACTCAGAGTTGGACATAATTCCGAAGTGGTAAGAGGACAGGAAATAAAGCAGGAGCCTAGTTTGTCTTCTGCTGCAACTATTGCTGATCAGGAAGCTTGTGAGAAGTGGCGATTAAGGTTTTTCTTTATTTGAATAGCTTTTTCATTATTTTTCTCTAAACACAAACTAGAAAAACTCTCTTTCATTTGTTTCAGTGCGTTGTTGTTTCATTTTGGTATTCTCATTTGATGATCATAATGTGTGCTGTTTCTATCTACCAGCTTCAAGTTCATTTTTCTTTTTGAAATGATGTATATCAGGGGAAACCAAGCTTACACAAATGGGCATTTGTCCAAAGCTGAGGATTGTTACACACAAGGGATAAATTGTGTATCCAAAAGTGAGAATTCTCGAAGTTGTCTTAGGGCACTGATGTTGTGCTATAGCAACCGTGCAGCAACACGCATGTCTCTTGGAAGAATGAGAGATGCTCTTGAGGACTGCATGTTGGCAGTTGCGATAGATCTGAATTTCCTCAGAGTGCAAGTTAGAGCTGCAAAGTAAGGCTCTTCTTTGTATTCTGATTCCTTTTGGGAGTGCGTGTGAATCGACCTTGCATTAATTGTGTCCTAATAATGCTTTATAGAATTTGTTACTAGACAAGTTTTTTCTGCATATGAGTGGTAAATAAGAAATTCAATTTGTTCTTTCTAAGGACTTTTTTACATGAGAAATTATCATCATAATTTTTTCTTTTTGCTCAAATGAGTTGTTGTGGCTTTCCAAACTCTCGAGTTTCCAAATGTGCTGTTTGTAAGTTAAATATCTGAATGGTTTTTAAGTTTCTAGTTTTTCATGATAGTATGCAGCTCATCAAGCTTTTTAACTAATTATTTTATTTAGATATTTGTTTTACTAATTATCTGCATTACAACATGTAATATTGTTTAACTGTAGCATAAGATATATTCATTATGAATTCTATTTGATCTTTATCAAAGATCATATCTCCTAATTGGTGCTTTCACTTTTGATTTCTTCAAGTTGTTACCTTGCCCTTGGCGAACTTGAAGATGCATCACTGTATTTTAAAAAGTGTTTACTGTCCGGAAGTGATATCTGTGTGGACAGAAAAATTGCTGTCGAGGCTTCTGATGGCCTTCGAAAGGCACAGGTATTGCAATTTTTCTACCAAATTATGATACTTTCTCTATTTTTCTATTGAGGCCCTGGGGGTTATTTTTAGCATCAGTTACTAATAGCTGTTTATCCTCCAAATGCACAAAATTCACAAAAACTAAATAATTTTCTCATTGAATTGATGATGCTATCCTCATTTGGACATGGATAATAGATAATTTCTGACATGCTCATCTTCTTTGAAGTAAAATTTTGAGCAGTGGGTTCAAACATAAGGAGAAGGATTTGTGAGGGATTGCTGAGGTCGAGGTAGAGGAAAGATATTAATGTTTCAGTTCAGTTATAAATCAAACTAATCACAAAATGAAACTTGCATTGTGAAATTGATTTGTCCTTAGGAAGCGATTTGAAGGAAAAAAAAAAAAAAAAAAACCTACCTGATTGGCCCTGAATAGGAGCAGATGATGAAGGCAGAGCAGAAGAATTAGAAAGTAGGATTCTAGTGATTATGTTAATATTTGTTCATTCCTTTTAAACCGCTTATGCTAGAATTGTTTGTAGAGGGTATGTGATAATTTTTATGTGGAAATGATTGGATCTCACATCTGTGATACATTATGCAATTTTTTTTTTTTTTTAATTTCTTTTTTCCTATCATTTATCCATGTTGAGGAAATCTATGACTTGTCCAGTGACATTGTGACTTATTAGTGTTTTCCTGTTTGGCAGAAAGTGTCTGAATGCATGCAACGCTCTGCTGAACATCTACAAAATAAAACTTTAAATGATGCACAGAGTGCTTTGGCAGTCATTGATGAGGCTTTGTTAATAAGCTATTACTCAGAAAAGTTACTCGAAATGAAAGCTGAGGCTCTTTTCATGGTCTGTTTTTATATTATCTGATATGTGAAATTTAAAATTTTGCTTGTGTATTTTAGATATTATTGATACTCCAAGTATTTGCCTATTCAGTATTTAGTATTGCACCAAAACAAAATCAGAATTGAGTTAACAATTGTGTCATCTGGCAGTTAAGGAAGTATGAGGAGGTAATTCAACTGTGTGAGCAGACCTTTGATTCTGCTGAAAAGAATTCTCCAACATTCAATGCCGATTCCCAGTTAGCAAATCTAGATCGTTTTGAACCCTCAAAGGACTTTAGGCTTTGGCGCTGTCGTTTAATTTTCAAATCATACTTTAATCTAGGACGGCTGGAGGAGGCTGTTGCATCACTTGAGAAACAAGAAAAACTGGGGTAATTCCTAAGTCTCTAACACATTTAATTTCTTCCAATTCATTTTGTTCCACTATGATAAATCATACCGCTTATTCTATTTTTCCCAGGAATGGAGGAAAGCCTCTAGAATCTTCAATACCCATAGTTGCCACTGTGCGTGAGCTCTTACGCCATAAGGTATGCCCATTTTGTGCTTTGTTTAATCTCTGCTTTTAATACAATGTTTTTTGTTCTCTCTCTTTGGATGGAACCTTCAAAATAAGCAAGGCACCTAGGAGTTTGTTCCTGAACAGATCTGGCATAGGCATAGCTGTTGATATATAGACTGTGTCTAACATGCACATTTATTGACACACTATTATTATCAGGTGTGCCTTGCAATAGAAGAGGAGAATGCCCTATTCAATATCATATTTCTATTTTCAGAAGTTTTGTGGTATATATTGGTTTGGATGCTCTTAAAGAGTTGACATTTGAATTCTTCTCTCCACTTATAAATGGGTGGAATTGTTGCAAATAATGGTGTTATGGTAGTGCTATTTTTGATCAGTTAGTCTCATGACTTCCTGGACAATCTGATTTCAGTTTTCATGCCTACTATCATATTTTGTTGAACTGGTTAATGTGTTCAGTTCTCCCATCATAGAACTGAAAGTATCCGATGATTTCTAGATTATTTGTTTTGCTTTTCTGAGTGTGAATGATTTGTTCTACACTATTGCAGGTTGCTGGGAATGAAGCATTCCAAGCAGGAAGGCATTCAGAAGCCATTGAACATTATACTGCTGCTTTGTCATGCACTGTGGAGTCACATCCTTTTGCAGCTATTTGTTTCTGTAATCGTGCTGCTGCATACAAAGCGTTGGGCAATATTACTGATGCTATTGCAGATTGCAGCCTATCTATAGCTCTTGATGGGAATTATATAAAGGTTTGTGTCTGAACTGATGCATTATTCTTCTTTCTTATGATATTGCCTAAAAATATATATTGGGAAAGAGGGAAGGCGAGGGGGGAGGTGTTCACGGGATGCTTGGTGAAGATTGAACATTTAGCAATGGTGCTTTTCATTTTTCTCAAGGTTTTGAATGATACTACCCTGTTTATATCATAAGCTATCTAAGATTTTGATGATACCATGATTAAATAAGAATCATTTGAATTCTACTTAATCAAGTGTATTCATGATTAAGATAAGTATCTCAATTGATTAAAACATCGTGCCCAAACTGCTCCTTCCAGAAAATAATAGTTACTCAAGTTGCTCCTACGCAAAAGATTCCTTAACTCCTTGACTGGCTATGTACTTAAGCTCTTGGATCAAGTGGTTACCATAACATAGTATCAGAGCTTGTTTCACCAAACAGTGTTGCTTTCAAACCTCTTTAATGTATTATTAAATTATAATCAGTTAATGTTAGTTTTTGTCGAATTTGATTCATGTGCCTTGCTCACAACATTAAAATTAAATACTTTTGTTAAACTCTTATCAATTAAAAATTCTGTCAAGTGGTTCCTGTACATCTAATTATATTTCATTGATTAAAAAAATATTGCTAGTGAAGATTATAATTATACTCATAACACAGTTGTGTAGCATAACTATTTATGTACATTCATGTACATTTTAGTAATTAAAAGAAGTTTGGCATGTGAAAGGTGTTAGAATTATTTGAATCTTTTCAGGAAACTTCAATACAGTCCTTAGACTTCTAAGAGTTGAGGTTTGCTGGCTCAAATAATTAGCAGCTCAGTGTAAGAGTAGGTTGGATATGGATTTTAAGTGAAACTGTATCATACACTTGGATTTAAGTATGGCTTTTAGCATGTCATTAGTATCATTTGGGAACCGGCAAATTAACTTCAACCAATGTGCCTTACAATACTGGGTTCTTTCTTTTTTTTTTTTTTTTTTTTTCCGTTTGAATCTTGGGAAAGTTGATCTTTCTTTTTACAATAATATTTTTATTTTGTTGTTATGGGTCAATTAGGGTTTTCTTCTATTGAATAACATTTTAGGTAATATCAATGTGTTGTTACTCTACAGGCAATTCGAGAAGACGTTATATGAGATGATTAGGGACTATTGGCAAGCAGCTAGTGATCTTCAGAGGCTTATAGCTCTCTTACTAAGCAAGAAAGAGAGCAATCAATCTTGTGATAGATCAACTAACTACGCAAATGATCTAAGACAAGCTCGTTTACGGCTTACTGCAATAGAAGAAGAAGCCAGGAAGGACATCCCCTTGGATATGTACCTTATTCTGTGAGTCTCTTTCACTTGTGATTCTGACTAATTAGATATGCTGGCACCATTTTATGATATGTTGCCAATTCATGAGTTATGCTGGAACATGCATCTTCACCTCTTTATTAGATTAATCTGATTCTAGACAAAATGCATGACGAAACCTATTTTATTAAGCTACTCTTTTCCATTGGAAGTTTATGTCACTTGCTTATGGTTGGTACCTATGAATATTGAAGTGAGATATGCAGAAAGAACAGTGCCTGATTAGTTTTAAGCATTCTGTATGTCACATAACCATTTTGTTTCTGTTTGGACTTTGGTATATAGATGGGTACATTCTGGTTACAATGTCTTTTCATATTCTAGTGAAAGCTAAATTGCATCATATTTTCTGGTGATGTGAAGAATTTTTCATGAAGGATAACTTGGTCATAATTAGTGTTAGATTTGGCAGCTTTAGATTGGATATTGCTGCATTATCAATCTTTAATGTTAAACAGTTTTCTTGTGTTATAACTTTTGGAGATTCATTTTTCCTAGTAACTCAGGACTGATTTTATGTTCAAAATGTAACTTTCATAAGTTGAGATAACATTGGGTTGGTATGGTTCAATTGTAACTAGAAGCATACATACTACAGTCACCCTTTATTTTTATGTGTGCACGTGGCAAAATGTTTTTTTTTTCTTTTTCGAAGTTAGCTGATACCCAAGCTATCCTCGCCATTGTCCTCAAGTTATTCCTCTTTGAACTTTTTCTTCTCATGATGCTTATTTTATTGATAGTCTTCAGGGTACTCTTAGGTTCTGCCAAGTGTTTAGTTTCTTTGCTTATTGATAGAGAGGTAAAAATTCCATTTTAATTATATAACTTCTATTCAAATTCAATTAGGTCTTCCATGTTTCAAGTTCAATTTCAGAATTTAAATCTCAGTTGATTTGGTGAATGTTTAGTAGAAATGGAAATGTCTAAAATATTGGCTAGCATAAAGAATATCAATTTACTTGATAATCATTACCCAATCTCTCCCTATTGGCTTCCCTTCACCATCTTTTCTCTCTACACTTTGCCCCAGTTGCCTTCCTTTTTCTCTCCTTCATGATTCGCCTCCTCTCTCCCCATAAGGCTCCACATTTAAAGTGTCGAACCCGTAACAGAGTGAACTCTAATTAAGCAAAACTCCTAAATTCCTTAATATAGCTAGTGGCTAATTCTAATCTTGAGGTTTAAAATCTCTCGTATTTTGAATTATGTGGCAGAGGAGTTGAACCATCTGCTTCTGCATCAGACATCAGAAAGGCTTATCGGAAAGCTGCACTTCGACATCATCCTGACAAGGTTTCTTATATTATATGAGTTATTTGCATGCTTACTGTTATTTACCCATCTAACAAAATCATTATTGATCTAGGCGGGTCAAAGCTTGGTTAGAAATGATAATGGGGATGATGGGCTTTGGAAGGAGATTGGAGCAGAAGTTCACAATGATGCTGATAGACTTTTTAAAATGATTGGAGAGGCATATGCTGTACTCTCAGATCCTACCAAGGTTTCTCTACACCCTTTTCTTATTGTGCATTCTTATGTCACAAATTTTCATGTGTTATACCTTCTTTTACCATGTTCTGATTTCTTTTGGTTGTCTTTTTCCTCAAAACTGTGCTTAGAACAGTCAACTTTTTGCTAAAAAAGAGTTGTTGGGTCACTCCTTGCTTAGCTTTGCAACTTTAGTGTCTTGTGGGGATTTGCCCCTTCTTATGCTCTAAAGGGGACACTAAGCAGCCCTGGCAGATCAGTGGTCATTTTTGTGGAAATTTAAATTGTTTTGGTACTTTTATTGGTTGATGTTAAAACATCTAGCAACTTCATTGCTCAATGATGATCATTGAAATTAATTTTGGCAAATGTTAACATGATCCAGAAACCTTCATAAAACGGTCATCTTAAAGAAGTCAGATTAATACCTTGAAGAACCCTTAAACTGTTGGTTTGCATTTTTGATTGAACCGTAAATATAAATCTTCTTCCCTATATTAAAATTGTCAGTCTAATACCTTGAACAACCCTTAAATTGTTTGGTGGCTTTTTTTGTATATCACCCTTTGGTTTGATTATTTTTGTTACAATTTGTTTATCCTCATCATTTCATCATTCTACAATTTGCCATCAAGTTGCAAGCCTAACGCTGTGCTTATTGATTATGTAATCAATAGGCATTCACCTAATGTTGCATAGGCTTTTTGATGACAAAGTGCTAGCCTTCCTGGTTTTTATCAGGAAAATTTATTAAACTTATAGGCCCATATTCACATGTCAAGACTGGCTACTTGGGCTTTTTTCAACATCGTGTTTGTGTGATTTTATGTTTTTTTTTTTTTTTTTTATTGCTATCATGGCAAGTGTCCTTCCTCTTTGTATACATTATTTTCAAATCTTTTAATTTATTAATTTCTCTTGTATTATTCCTTGTGCTGCTAAATTAGTATTCATATGGTCACAATTTTTTTTTTTTTTTTTTTTTAATTTCCAGCGTTCACGGTATGATCTTGAGGAAGAGATGAGGAATGCCCAAAAGAAACGCAATGGAAGCAATACATCCAGAACAACCACTGATGCTCAAAATTATCCATATGAGAGAAGCAGCAGTAGGCGACAGTGGAGAGAAGTGTGGAGGTCGTATGCTAACTCACCCACCAAACGGTCAGAAGATACTCGATCAAAAAGATTTTCATGACAACTTTGTGCAATATGCATGATTAGAATCTCATGATAAAAAACGGTGTAGTTGGATGAGGAATTTACTCAATTATCAGCAATCTGCACATTATCCCAACCAAGAGATGCTGTCGTGGGAAATGATTTCACCTACTGTCCAAGAGCTAGTGGCTATGTGAATATTGAGATACTATGTCGGTGAATGCCTGGCTGAGAATTGTGGTTATCTAACCAAAAAAAATTTTGCTAACCAAAGAGTTTTGCCCACAAGGATATAAAAGATGGTCGAAGATTTGACACAGGAATTGTATTATACTGAAAGAGGTTCTCCATGGAAAAAAGAAAAGCTCTAATCCAAGATATGAAATAGAGGGAGGTCGGTAACTGTTTGAGCTATGTAAATTTAACAGTAATCTATGCAGGTGAAATTTGACAGTGCAACCAGAAAGCTCAATGGCCTCAGCAGTTTGTTACATTGGCACGAATAAAACTGAAGCCGGAAAACCAAAAAAAAAAAAAAAAAACCTCAGCAGTTTGTTACATTGGCACGAATAAAACTGAAGCCGGAAAACCAAAAAAAAAAAAAAAAAAAGGTAGAAAAGAAAGAAGATGGGATCTTTTTAGGATTATGAAGGAGTCATAATTAATATGAGAGACATTTTTTGGTTTGATTTTATGTACATTATTTTCAGAATGATTTCAGTTTGTCTTGTTCATTTGCCGAATACAGTTCCTGTTGATATACTGTTATACGAATGAGTTTGCTTGTTTGTACAGTGTGTTTCTCAATGAGTTGAATTTTTGAATGAAAAGCCCCTTATTGTATGACGCTATATGCAGTGTTAAGTATGTTCTTCTACTATGATTTGACTGCAAATAGTTCTGGACATATATATATATTATGTAGAATTGGACGAATTGCAGCTTGAAAGTCGAAGTGAAGGTTGACTTGCCAGAATCAATTGGTGCCTGAAGGAAATTTTCTGGGCAAGGTTGCAGTTATACAAGTTCTGCAGAATTTCCTGCTAGAGTGTCAGAAAATTCTGCTTGTTAGATCCTGAAATGGTCCAAAATTCGACCGTGAAATTGATGTAAACTCGAGATGATAATTTATGATTTTTGAAACATCTTTGCTCAAAGCATTATAAGAAAAATGTAGGTTACTCCAAAAGAGTAGTTAGTCAATAGTTACAATATTTCACTTGCTTTTTCTTGTAAAGAACTAATTATCTGTGAGACTGATCTTCCCGCAACATAGGTGTTGCTTTTGACAATCAATAATTTCCAATACCTGAGACGTAGAACTTCAGACATTAGCTGAATCAAAAGACGCCGAATCATCAAGAAACATGAATAACTAGATGTGACAAATTATGCCTGGAAGTTCTACCTTCAAAGTATGGTGAAGATGCTGAAGAAGAATATTGATCTATAACTTGAGTTTGTTTTTCTGCATTATTATACATATATTCCTAATCCGAGCTCTTTCGGTTCTGTTTCCACCATCCATGGTGGCCTATTGGGAGAAGAAAACAAGTGACAATAAAACCAACAAGAAAATAGGTTAATAGAAGAACAAAGAGTTCAACAACAGGAGAAGAAGCATTACTTGTTCATTACGAAGTTTATTGTTCCGTGTGCAGCACGCTCAAGCAGAACTTTCCTTGCCTCGATTGCAATACCTTCAGGCTGCAGAATCTTTTTTTTAATAAATTATCATAAAAGTTAAAATTAAACGTTTCTGACGGTAAAATTTTCATGCCATTGTGCATACCTCTTCTGGAAACCAAACCCCTGGCTTTGTGACTCCCTCAAGAAGTGCAAGGGCAAAAGCAGATGTAGCAGTTCCCACGGATCTGAAACAAATGTAAACTTCTTGCTTAAAACATCCTATAATGTCTTCCAGAATCTATCCGTAAATTATGAACTAGTATGGCACACAATATAGTTCATTGATTTTGAGGGAAGCGCTCTACTGAATATGAATTCTAGAAACGAAGACGAAACAGCTTACCCAGAGAGCCTCCTGTGACTAAATATACCAACTGTATTGCGTCCATCTGAGCATTCCAAGTCAATCTGCCAGTAAAAAGAAGCATTAGCAAAGGAACTTGTATTACACTGAACCCCGAGTGGATTTCATATTTTCATTTAAAAAAAAAAATTACAGAATAATAATAACAATAATAAAAGTAAGTTAATATTGTAATCTCACCCTCATGGATACACGTTCTCCAGCGATCCCATCAAATACTCGGACTACAGGATCAAACAACTGAACCAACTGTTGGACTTTGTTTCGGTCTCTCAGATACTCCTGAAATATTGAACCAAAACTAAAGTTCTTATCCAGAGGAAACAAACAGCTACTCATTCTAAACAGATGCTTGATCAAATCAATAATCGATGCAGCATTTGTTTCTTAGATTTTGCTACCAAGTTCCTGATAGGAACAGTTACATGGAATAAGTTCCAGAAGATTTTTATCTATTAAAGGTGCATGTGTCTGTCAGTTGTAATTTAAGTTTTTTTAGGAATTAATCAATCACCAAATCATTAAATGATATGCTCGGAACATTACATATGATATGACCACTAGTTATGCTTCCCCAGCAGCTTCCATAATATATGGGCGTTATAATAACATACAACTCAATAACAAGCCACTTGAAAAATCTAATAATCTGCCAATTCAAGCTGTGAGTAAAGCAACTGCATACAGGAGAAAGAAGCTTTGTCATGGCAACCATTCCCAAATTCCAGAAGAATGGTGCAGTTCCAAATCGAGCACTGACTGTTGGTACTCCTAGAATTTCATGAGCACTTCGCACCTCCGGTAAATTCCTGAAAATAAATGATTCAGTTGAATTGAACTGCTGCAGGAAATAAAGCAATTTCACAATTCTCAGTTTTTCAATCAAGTGGCTACACCAAAACAAATGGCTAAATGTAAATGACATTCATCATAAGCTACGCATTAACAATAGCCTGAATTCTTATAGTAAAGGCTGACTCAGGGATGGAACCCCACCGATTTTATTTTAATCCAGCTCAAGACAATAAGCAATCTATCAACTCTCTGACATTCTATATACTTTCAGGAACATAATTGGTGAAACAATACATTTAGGTCACTTACACCAATCTATTCTTCACATGAGAGTAGTAACTGTTATATATTTAGAGTAATGCTACATCCACAACCTCTTCTCACGAACTTTCTCTCACAACCTTGACATGACAGTTCGCAATTAGTCAGCTTCAATTTATCAGATGGGACCTATTATGAGTTGAACAATTGAGAGCTGTCACGTCGAGGTTATGAGAGGAAGTGTGTGAGAAGAGGTTGTGAGTGTGACATTTTCCATATATTTATCAGTTCTCTACGCTAATTTAGCCATGAGAATTTATCATGCTATTTAAAAAAAAATTATCCATACTTCGGGATGATTTTACTAGGTCCACAGAATATAACTGTGAGGACTATTGCTTGACTTTCCCTTAATTTTGCTAATATACAAACAAGTAGCACTAGTTTTGAAATTGGTTAAAAGCCTCCCATAAATTTATGAAAACTGTCCTAAAGTTTCTCAAATCATCAGAGAAATCTCTCCCACTAGTTTTGAAATCAACTTCTTTCCTATGAACTTACAATAGAAAGACGTCTTTTCTTCCAATTCCTTTTCCGAAATCAACATTGATCATTCCACTATATGGCTTCAGTTTGACCTTTTCTCCTGCTAGGATAGTGCACCATCATGGTTAGATACCATATAAGTAGAAGAAGTGAGCATAGATAATTCACAATATACCCTTGAAACTGACCTTTACTATATGCAACAACTTCCTCTCCAAGAAGTAAAAAACTAGTAGCTAATATTGTAGGACCAGCACCTCCAGTGCCTGCTGTATAATAGCTGAATCTGAGAAGAGCATATTTGCACATAAATCATATATACAAGGAGAAAGATGGGAGGAAAGCAAGCTATTTATAAATTTTGTAAAAGAAATGCATAGATACTCCTTTGGTTTTGGCTCCCAAAGCTTGCATGCATGATTATGAAACTAGCTTGAACCCAAAAGCTTGAACTAATGGGTAACAAGCCAACTCCTTGTATATAAATCCTTCAGTTTTTCTATTCCATAGGGCATTTACTGCTCACATAGTTATCTTATATTCATATGACATGATGATTATTGCTCAAACCTCACTCCTTTATTGAATTCCTCCACTCCCATGCCCAAACAACCTTCCCCGACAAAAATTAAAATATTCATAAGTGGAAATTCATAAGTTGATTGCAATCCTCAGTTGTTGGAGTTTAAATAAGATTCAGAAGTGTAAACTTATAGGTTTTATGGTTACTAAACCTGGTGTTTGAAATAGATTTGACTAAAAGGTCTTAAAGCAGGTTCATTTAACTAAAAATGAAAAAAAGAAAGATAATTATGAATGGTCTCAACATTTTTGTTGATGGAAATTATAAAAATAAAATGCAAAAAATCAGAATAAACTATAAAATGTCAATCATTACTTGAAACTAATTCAGCAAGGGGAGTGGAACTGGATAGTGGATAAACAATTAGCAGGTATAATCACCTTAGCCTCTCTGGCTCTCCCTTGCTTTCATCTCTCGCAGCACGAACTAGCTCTGCAGCCATCACTGCCATGAAAAGTGTAGAACTTATATATGTGAGTAAAAATCTCGAAAAGCCAGGTAAGATTACCAACATAGATAATATTTACTTGATGGCAACGATTCTGTGGAGTTTACATGTTACAATAATGAACCTTTTGCTCTTCCATTTTGGTTACTTCTATTCTAATTTTATCTTAGATTTATATTGCCAGATGTGCACAATGCAGAACAAAAAAATTCATAGTAGCACCATTGCTCACTCCGGGATAGATTCCGCCAGTAGTTATTGCTGGAACATTTGCAGCTATTGCTCTATCCTTCAAGGATTTCGCACGCAATGCATAGCTGGTATCATCACAAACATCCATATACGCCGTCTGTTGGGAGATAGAACAAACACTTCATGAGACAACATCTCGGTTAAATTGTAGAGTCGTAAACATGCTAATTATTATCACATAGATGAGAGAAAGAAAACATAAAAGAAAAGAAAATTTCACATAATAATTACCTTTTCTCACCTTGGTCTCTATAGCAGCTTCCAGTACATTGCAATTCTGTGACTGTTGAAAAGGCCCTGCAGCATGGACTACAAGATCCACATCTGAAGAAGAACATTTATAGTATTTGCACGATATATTATTGTTACAAAATTGATTGCCATGGACACAATAAGGTGTATGCATGTATAAGAACTCTCAAATGCGAATGTCAACACATTTTTAGTATCCAAACCCTTCCTTCTGAAAGAGATCTTTAATATATAAATTGTTATTGAACTCATCAGCATAAGGAACTGATAGGAATTCACAAATTTTTGTATTTTTGACAAACTCATTTCAGAAAAATTCAAGTCTGATTTAAAAAAAATGGAAACGTCCACCTGAACGAAAAAGAAGGACTTTGCACCTCTTAAAGCAGTTTCCAATGAATCCACATTATCAATGTTAACTTCAACAAGCTCAGAATTCTTCCCCAATTTATCCACCATTGCAGCACCTTTTTCCCTGCCATAACACAAAATCCTTTCAGCCGCCATCTCAATTAACAACAGTTTTCTCTTTCTCAATTCAATTCTTTATAAAAACATTAAAATTTTGACACTCAAAAAATACATTTAAAAACTAAACACAACACAACCGAACCACGAAACACGTCCCACAGCTCTAAACTTCATCATTCAATCTTCTCTCTCTCATTTCTGGGAACCAACACAAAAAATAAAGGGTAGTCTTAATTTCCCTGTTTCGACAGCCAACAACGATTTGGAGTTGAGGGAGAGCTGGAGAGAGCAACGGCAGTGGAACCTCCAACGCGGCCGTGCCTCCCAAAACCAAACGCGGGGCGTTTGGTCTTCTCCTGGAGTTGAGGTCTGTCTATTAAGGTCTCTTTGACGCTGGCACAGGCCATTACTGAGGTAGAATTCAAATTAAGAAGAGCTGGCGCCATGGCTGTGAGCTCAGTGTTCTTCTATGCCTTACGAAATTTTCTTATCTAATTAACGGTTTATAGTGGTGATGACGTGCCCAATAAGTCTCTGGTGACGTGGCTGATTTTGTGCCATTGAAAATAGCTGTAAATTAAAGGAATTAGTGTAAATAGACATATTTTTATATTAATTTTTTTTCTTTTGTTATAATTTAGTTAAAATTTCATATTTGAATGTAGCCTTTTTTTGTTGATGTGAGATATCCGTTCAACTAATTTAAACTGTTCGTATATCTTATGTCAATAATGTCGAATGTGTTTAAAATCTTCGACATTCTTAGAAGGTTATATTAAAACCCAACTTTAAGCTAAATTTTTTTAAATTCTTTTTTAGATTTTAATTTATAAATTTATAAAATTTTCTATTTTGATTAACCAAATAGTTTTTCTATAAGGTTTTGTTTCTTTCCTTCCTCTAAGTTTTTCTTAATTTTTTTTGCTTTTGCTAAATTTTTTATTTTTTTTCTTCATGCTAAAATAAAAAAAGAATTTTTTTTTGGTTTTATTGCTTTCCTATTATTAAATATAATAGTATTACTATTAATACCAATTTAGTTTCTAAAGGTGGCTCAGATAAATTCTATTCTATATTTTATTTAGGGAAGGTTCTTAAGGAATTTTCATATCAATATGGTTTTTTTTACTAGAAACTGTAATTATGTTAAGGAAAACAAAATAGAGGCCTCTGGGCCCTTCAACCTCAAAGGGCGGAGGCTAGTCATGACTTGGGCCAGAGGACCCGGCGCATCTCGACACAATTTCATTTGGGTCTTACCTAAATATTTATGAGGCCCATATTTGATTGCCCATCTTTTAATTTTTTTTTTTTTTTAAATTTCTTTGCATAATTTTCATTAATACAACCCCCCTCAATACAAGAGATTCTGGATCATAAAATTTGAAAAACATGACTTGTAACAGATAGCATTCCAACTGGTTGGTCTTTGACTTGTTGAAAGAAAAATTTTCAGTCCCTCAAGTTATTTAGTCCCTTTGATCAATTGAAAAAAAATTGTAGGTCACCAATGTTACATATTAATATTGACTCTTACTAATTTACCCAATAATTTAAATCATGGGGTCAATTGGTTATTCGGATGGACCTGGGAAGGTGGGGTCGGATGATTAGGCCTATGGTTTGTTCCAATAAGGTTTAGGGTTTAAACCCTCTTATGGCATCTGTATGGCCGAAGGTCATTGTTTTTCCGTTTCTTAAATTGTAAGGTTCAGCGGGAGCTGCAGTTTCTAATCCAGCTTTGCTTCTACGGATACCTAACTAGTAAAACTAAATTTGAAGTTCTGTTTATCAAATTATTTCCTCCGTCTGAATATGCATCCATAAATGAGTGAACAGGAAAGTCAACATAAAAATTTCCAACTAGAATATGAACTTGACCTTGTGCCAATCTTAATGGATTCATTTAAAACATATTGTATAGACTCCAAAACGCACAGCTTTCAGCGAGGTATATATGACATATTCTGATGACATTCATTGCGCGAAACGGTGTGGTCGTTACAGAGCATTTTTCTTGTGGTGCCTGCTCCTGGTAGAACCCACAACCTCAACCTGTAAATTCTGGTCCTTGTTTTTCAGGTTTGGATCATTTTTAATTTTTAAGGTTAGGCACCAGAAGCTTATCCTGAACCGACACCTGACACACAAGATCAGCCAAAGACTTTTCTTCACGTCCAGAAATTCAAAGGGAATTCTAAAAAACTTTACCACTAATTATGGCAGATTACTTGATTCACTGAATTTGATTAGCTGTCGAATCCTGTATTAATGTTTATCCCTCAGGTCTTGGCTTTATTCATATTAATAAATCTTTTGAAAAGTCTTGGTGTGATCATAAATCAGTTGAGTAATTGACCAGGAAATAATTTTGTAGCTCATTAGTCGAAGCTAAGGTTTAAAATAATTTATCTCTTCAATCTATATATAGGGCTGATGCTCATTAAAAATCGTACCCAAAAAATTAAGTTCGGTTCGTATTTGTCTGATCCATGGCTTTCTCTTATTCTGCTGAAAAAAATCCTTTCGGTGTTGCATGTTGCTGCTTTTCGGATTATTGATGTCTCATATAGGAGTATCAGGTCCTCTCCTATCTCCCTCACCAATAATTATAACATTATCTGTAATTTAATTGTTCAGATATTTTACGTGTGTATTTAGGCACATGTATTAATTTATATATGCAATATTACATGTATATTTTAGTTAATGTTTTTACTATAACACTAATTCTGTCAACTGTTTTTATCATGATCAAAAGCACTTTAGATTTTATAAATAATAGCGTTACAACTCAAAAGCACTTTTTAAATTTTTTGCAGGCGCTGTAGCGTATGCTATGGAAGAAATGGCAACAATCTGCCATCACAGGCTCAAGTTGTGAGTCTCTTCAAAGCAAACAATTGGGAAAATGAGAATTTATGATCCAGATCAAGCAACCCTCCAGGCCCTGAGGGATCCAACATTGATCTCATCCTCGATGTCCCAAAACCACTCTTCAGAGCCTGACAGATGCTGCAAAAGCAAAAGATTGGGTCCAGAAAAACGTCGTGGCTTACTCTCCTGGTGTCAAATTTCGATACATTGCAGTCGAAACGAATCCACCCTGCTGATGCAGAAGCTAAGTTTGTTTTACAACCGCAATAAAAAACGTTTACAGCGCGATAGCTGCAGCGAATTTACAGGCCAGATCAAGGTTTCAACCGCAATCGACACTACCTTGTTACCAAATCCTCGCCTCCGTCTGAGGGAACTTTCGTACTCAAGCGAGCTCCTACATCACCCTATAATTCAATTCCTGGCGAAAAATGGAGCTCCACTTCTTGCCAATGTCTACCCTTATTTTGCCTACACCGGTAACACCGCGCAAATCAAGTTGCCATATGCCTTGTTTACTGCTCCAGGAGTTGTAGTTCAGGATAAGCAATATCAATACAGAATCTGTTTGATGCAATGTTGGATTCTCTCTATGCGGCTTTGGAAAAGGCTGTGCACCCAAATTGGAGATTGTTGTATCCGAAAGTGGGTGCCTTCAGCGAAATCCTGCAGCGACTGTGAATATTGCAGGAACTTATTACAGAATTTGATAAATCATGTGAAGGGAACCGCAGGGACTCCCAGGAAGCCTGGAAAGGCTATTGAAACATATTGTTTTGCAATGTTTGATGAGAACCTGAAACCTGCAGGGACTGAGCAGCATTTTGGAGTGTTCTCGCCTAGTAAGCAGCAGATATCAACTAACTTTTGGTTGAAAGATTTGCTACAATTTTAAACATAAGAGTGCCCTTGTGCCCATTTGTTAATGTACTCAAGGCCTTGCTTATAATAAATAAAGCAATTAATAAGACTACTATTCTACGAGGCTCATTGCGCCACATAAGTATTGTTGAGTGGAAGCAGTTAATTTTTAGTCAAGCTGATGCCTTATTTTATGGGTTTCTTGGTGGCAATAAGCCAAATATGTGTTTGTTTTTTCCTTAATGAACAGGCAAAGAAGATTAGCAAAAGTAACAGCATTTTGCGTCACCAAAGGGTGACAAAAGTTTTCACGGAACTGTGACTCCTCAGAGGAGAATCCCTGTCACTCACACATCGTTAGAGACTGAAACATTGATCAGTTTACAAACCATGGGTCCTTATAATTAAGTCATGTTTTAAATGAAAGATGTTTGCTAAATAAAGAAAATCAATTAAGGTGGGATCCAAATCAGATAATATTTTCTCGATCGAGTAGCATGTGTTATTTACTATATGTATACCACCTTGCTAATTTCCTTAACATAATTTACTTATGTGAACTCTTACTTGCAAAAATCTTGTGGAAAACTTAATGAATCCTGTCCCTTAACTGGACCATTAACTTGTAACTTAGCAGTTGTGGAAACTTAATGAATCCTGTCCCTTAACTGGACCCTTAACCTAACTTAGCCAGGTCAGTCAACTCTAACTTGTGAAAAACTTAGAATCCGTCCCTTAACTGGACCCTTAACCTGTAACTTCTGGTCCATGTTTTTCAGGTTGGCGTAAGCTTAATTTTGAAGGTTAGCCACCAGGCGGCCAAAGACTTTCTTCAGGGTCTAGAAATGCAAAAGGAGAATTCTAAAGAACTTTGCCACCAATTATGGCAGATTATGTGATTCACTGATTTGACTAGTCTTTATTCATCTTAATATATCATTTGAAAAGTCTTGGTGTCATTAATTCCATGGAGTAATTGACAAAAGACTGGAACTGATAAGTCAGACTGAGGTTTAAATATTGGATCTCTTCCAGTGGAAGGTTCGTATAGAGGTGGATGCTTAGCTAAAGATTGTGCCCCAGAAAGAATTAACTTTGGTTTTTATTTTATTTTTCTGATCCATGGCTTTCCCTCTTATTCCGCAAGTGAAAAACCTTTCAGGTTTATAGATTGTTGCTCCTTGGGTTGTTGATGTCCAATAGTTAATACTGAGACTTTTCAAAAGATTTTGACTAATTGTATTTATGTCTTAAAACTAATTACTATACCTTTTAAAGTTTGACAGCAAAAATTTCCCCTTTTAACATATTTATTTAACAGTTGTTTTGCGTTACATAGTTTATACATTAAGATGTGTATGCTAATTTATACTTAGTATATTCTTGATTTTTTAATTAATTAGTTATACTATGGATTTCAAAAGATAAAAGCAATATGATGTCTTTAATTTGTCATAAGGATCTGTACTCGAAATCTATGCTGTTTATTTAGTTCAATAGTTTTTACTAACACGTTAAGGCAATCATTGTTTTCTTCATGTTCAAAAGCACTTCGAGATTTTACATATAAAGCACTACATTCAAAGTACTTCTAATTTTGCAGCGCCATAGGGGTATGCTATGGAAGAAATGGTAACAATTTGCCATCATAAGCTGACGTTGTGAGCCTCTACAAAGCAAATAACATTAGGAAATGCAATTTACGATCCGGATCCAGCAACCCTCCAGCCTTGAAGGATCCACATTCAACTCATCCTCGACATCCCGATAGACAAACTCCAGGAACTTACAGATTCTGCAAAACGGAGATTGGGTCCAACAAACGTCCTGGCCTACTCTGCTGATGTCAAATTCCGATACATTGCAGTCGGAAATGAAATCCACCCTGCTGATGCAGAAGCTAAATTTGTTCTTCTCTGCCATGCAGAACGTTCACAAGCAATAGCTGCAGCAAATTTACAAGGCCAGATTAAGGTTTCAACCGCAATCGCACACCACTTTGTTAACCAATTCCTCTCCTCGTCCTGGAACTTTCAGTACTGAAGCGAACTCCTACATCACCCCCTAATCAATTCCTGGCACAAAATGGAGCTCCACTCCTTGTCATTTTACCCTTTTTGTCTACCTATAACACTGCGCAAGTCAGCCTGCCTTACGCGTTGTTTACGCTCCAGGATTGTAGTAACAGATAATCAATATCAGTACAAGAATCTGTTCGATGCGATGACAGATGCTCACTATGCCGCTTTGGAAAAGGCTGGTGCCCCCAATTTGGAGATTGTTATATCAGAAAGTGGGTGGCCATCAGAAGAAACCTCGAGCCACTGGAAAAGCAGGAACTTACTACAGGAATTTGTTGGTCATGTGAATGGAAACACAGGGACTCCCAGGAAGCCTGGAAAGGCTATTGAAACATATTTGTTTGCCCTGTTTGATGAGCACCGAAATCTGCAGGACTGGAGCACATTTTGTGTCTTCTCGCCAGTAAAGCGCAGAGCATCAACTAACTTTTGCCTGAAAGAGTTGCTACAGGTTTCTGATGGGCTTTAAGTTTAATAAGGGTGTCTTGTGCTCCCATTTTATAATGTACTCACGGCTTTTCATTATTTCATATGATAAATAAAGCTATTAATTATAATTGTCACTTCTACAACTTTAGCCAAATAAGAGATGAGGCCAATTTATAGTTTTGTGTCTCTTTAAATAAGGTGAAAAATAATTGCGTGAAGCTTAGAAGAAAATCCTTATAAGTAGGTACAAAAAACAAATATCATTTAGATGTGCCAACAGGGGCTGTACAACATTATCTATCAAGCAAGTCCCCGATCTTCACCCAACATAAACTAGTAATCTTGGTCTAATCAATTGTATGAAAAAAAAAAATTGACACAAGTATATATATACTATATGCTTTTGAAAAAGCATTGTTGTATCGGAGACTAGTCGATATATTGAGGGGGTACTATAACAAAGTGTTTATACCTCAATCCAATTAATCAACAATCAAACACAAACCACAATAAATCAGGAACAACATCACAACACCAAATTATCGTGGTTCACTATCCAATTGGATAGCTACATCCCATTGAGCTCTGGAAATGGGAAAGCCCGCTGTACTAGATCAAGATCCACAAGATCAATTACACTAAGATCACACTCTCTACAGTTTACAAAAATCTTCTCAACAATTTAACCCTAAAGAATCTCACCAAGAAACCCTAGATGAAGCAGAATACCCTCCCGAATAACCATCCTAATCACTCAAACAACCCAAGTTACAAAGATTTCGACACACGAATAACACCTAACAGAGAACATTTCTATTCAATAGAGACAATAATCGCAGAGCAACAAAACTAATTGTTCAAGCGCTTATATAACATTGACCAAATTGAAGGACTTCATCGTTGGATCAACGACCAATCCACACAAATTAGCTCAAAATGGCAGTGTTCCATTAATCCCCAAGTGACTCCGTTTCAGTCTTCACATCAACAATCTCCACCTTGAGACTCTGAAACTCTTGTAGTGCCCTCTAAGCCATATCCCTCATAGCTGTTTGCCAATTCTGACCACTCCACTGATAGCAATTTCAAGCAGTGCCTGAACTTTGCTGGAGTGATTATCTTTGTGCCCATTTCTGCTGGATTTTCTTCAGTGGCAACTTTCTTCAATTCGACTACTCCTTGAGCACCAAATCTCTCACAAAATGGAAATGAACATCCAGATGCTTGGTCCTTTCATGATAGACAGGATTTTTACTTAGGTGAATTGCACTCTGGCTGTCTGAGTAATTGTGACCTTCCCATCAAAAAAGTTTGCCTCTGACATCATTCCCTGCACGCCAAACAGCCTCCTTAACACATTCGCTATAGTTATATACTTAGCTTCAGTCGATGAGAGTGCTACACAGCGTCACAACTGGTTTCTCCAATTTATGCAGTTTCCCTTGGGTGAAATAGTAGACAGTTGTAGATTTTCTAGTTGTCTATATCTGAAATCAAAACGAAACCAACAAGATCAAGTGTAGCAGCTCTTTTACATATTTTAATCCGACATTTAAAGAGCTGTTAATGTATCTAAGAACCCTTTCGAGGCAATCCAATGTTCACTGCCAGGGTTGGACATAAATCTGCCAAGCATAGAGATGGCAAATGATAGGTCAGGCCTAGTGATTATCACTACATATATTATAGAACCATTACATTTGCATATGGGACAATATCCATATTTATGATTTTAGCTTCAGTTTTAGGACACTAGGTTTTACTAAGCATAAAATGGTTCGCTAAGGGCATAGAGACAGGTTTTGACTTAGTCATTCCAACTTGGTTATCAATTTTTTCAGGTATGATTTCTGATCATTTTTTAACCCATAGTTTCTTAACTCTAGTTATAACCATGCCTAAATTTTCTTGGCATTTCCTAAGTCCTTCATATCAAATTCAGAACTTAATTTATTCTTGTATTTTAGACTTGGATCTACTGATTAGCAACATATCATCAACATACAATGTAGGTAATAAACAGGTCCTCATCTAAATCAAAATAGAAGCACTGTCATATCTGCTTCTTCTAAACCCCAAGCCCACAATAATATATACAAATCTCTGTACATCTGCCCATGGGCCTATTTAACATGCCATATAATGATTGTTGTGCTAGTACCGCCGCTACATTCATCTTCGCTTCACTCCTTCTTTGCAACTGTTTTAAGCGCAAAAGTTCAGAGCATGGCACATAGTTCCTGCATTTAATGGCCATGTAAAAAAGAGCCTGTGCCTACTTCCAACATCGGGTAAGCTAAGTTTCTGGTGGTGCAGTCAATGGAAAGCTATTAGTCCATATTGTTTATTTTATGTGGAAAAGACTGCATTGTGCTTATGCCATTCCCTCTTCTTTGGAGAGAGCTTTTGCTAAGCCATGCTTCTTGACCTAGGCTGACCTAGGAGGGCAAACTCATCTTTCTGAAGTCTTACGTACCCATTCATGGATCATTTGGTTCCTTGGAGCGGGCACCAAGCCATTGTTGCACCCTGCTTGTGAGTGGCTCTGCTTTCCTTTCTTCTCTGCCTTAGCCGCTTCCACGTGGCCTCTTCTGGGGTTTGCCTTCATTTAGGCCCCTTCTACCGCATGGTATGGGGCCAGGGCTGGCTTTGACTTCGGACTCTCCTCTGTCGGGATCAGTGGCGTATAACGTTCTATTTATTTAAAGACCATTCTTATCTACCATATTGGATCAAGATACTGTGGACTCGGCTCTGCCCGTGCCGCGGCTGCGTCCTAGAATTGGGCTATGCTGGATAGGCAACAATCTATTCCTATCCGTCTCCTGGATCAATTCTTATCAGGACTTTCACAGTTTTCACTTATCTTCTATATTAAATTGTTTTGCTCGTGAGACCCTGAGCTTAAGAGGCACCTATATCCCCTTCTGTCTAACCCCCACCATACATACCGTCAGCTAATCTGCTGAGGGTGTGTCCTTCACAGGACATGACTCACTATGCAATGTTTCAAGCTCCCCCAAAAAGTGTGTAGAACCTAAAAATAGCCCAACCTTTTCCAATAGGTCCACATCTCTCAGCCACCCCATCTGCTGAGGGGTCCTAACAACAGTCCTATGCCCGGATACCTATCCTACAAAATGGTCAAACTCAATGTAAAACTCTAGCCCATACTGTTCTTAAGGCCTTCACCTTCTATCTAACTATGTTTCACTATAATTTCACTCTCTAAACATGGCTAAGCTTGGTCTTTGGTTTTAGAGATAAATCCAAACTTTCCAACTGTAGTCCAACTAGTGACAGAAGTAACTGTTTTCACATGGGACATAATTCTAATATGAATTCATACAACCTCAATTCAATATCACCTTATTTCAACCAATTTCAACTCAACTTAAACTAGGATTCCCTTGCAACACCCTAACATAATCCGGCCAACACCCCACAAGCACACACAACCTTTATGACAACTTTATAACAACACCTTTTACTATTTTCAATTACACTAACCTCGTTCTAATGGAAATACACAACACAAATGGGACCAAACAAAACAAGCCAAACCCGAAATTAAGATGAATGGTAACCAATGGGGAAATACTTACAGACAGATGGCCAGGTCATTCAAGCCCAAAAGAACTCCACTAGCTTGAAAAATTAATCCACCACCAAGCTTGGCCGAACTTTGCAAAGGAATTCAAAGAGAAAACACAATTCTCCATGGAAAACACTATTCATGGCAATATTCATGTCTAATTCATATTATGAAATAGTGACCTTTAAATAGCTTTACAAAACATGAGAATTGCCCTAACAATATTACAAAATCTTACACAAGATATTAAGGGTTTATTCTCCACCATTTAATTACAAAATGCAAACCATACTCATTTAATGCAAAGGACAACCACTCCTTAAATTAAGAATCTATGTCCCTAATTGCAATTTACTTGATTTTCCTTCACCAAATTGAATCAAATAGCATCCACACATTGGCTTGGACCAATAGCTTCTCCCTACTTGATCTCCACAGCTTGGCTAAAAAAAAGGGCTTGTGCCATGTCTTGGACCCTTACACATCTTACAAGTTTGTGAGTTTCCTTGAGTGCTTGGGTCGAAGTTGTTCTCCTTGCAAGGCTTGGGCTTCTTGAATCTTCAATGTACAATCTTGCATGTTTAAAGAACATAATGGGCTTGGATTCTCATCAAATTCTTTCAAGTTTCCAAAGACCAGATGTAGGTATTCTAGGCATTTTGTGGCTAGGTAAGTTCCCTTGAGAAACTCAGACTATGTTGTTTCCCTAACACGCAGTTTTCACAGAATTCTAAGTTAGAGATAGTATCACTACCAAACAGCCCCTGGCTATTAAGTGTTCATACCTTTTTGACTCGTGTCCCATCCTCAGTGCCATTTTTAGTCATAGATAGATTAGTTGAAAGTTATACAGTATTGAAACATTCAGGATAAAATCTTCACATAGGATATAAAAACCATTTTTTTTCCCCTTAAGAACAAGATTTTGATTTCTATACACATTCAAGCAACCATAACGCCCTATAGGAACATCTAGTCTCATCCAGGGTCCCTAAAGATATGAGGTTCCTCTTTAGATCAGGGATATACCTAACCTTGTCAGTTTTAAGTTTTCCATCACTTGTTTTAGAGTCACTAATAAGTGTTCATAATTGATATTTTCATCTTTTATATAATCTTTGTTGATATTTTCTGAATTATGAAAGGAATAGAGGCATGCGAATGAAAGTGGAGCATAATGTGCAGGTTTTAGACATTGGTAAATTCGACCTCCGAAGGTTCAGTGGAGACTTGAAAATCTTAGAGTTCCAAAATAAGAAAGAGGTTTTCTTGATATATAAGTAGACATCCTGAGCTTTCTATTGGGCTTACGTGTTTTAATCCTAGTAGATTTGGGTATTCAAAGTTTACATCGAAGTTAGAAATCCATCCCTTATAGCTGGGCGCGACAAGTAATTAGGCTATAACTTGAGTTATAGAAGTCCAATTAAGATGCTTGAACATGC